AAGCTAAGAAATGAATGTACATTAAAAATAAAAGAGAAAACTATACATAAAATAGTCCAGTTTTTTCCCCCAAACTCTTTCCAGTTATTTTTCAAATCTTCCTTTCACCTCTCGAGGGAATTAAAGTGGAAGCAAGGACGTCGACACAGGATTATGGTAGAAAGCGAACCAGCATCTGTAATGAGAAAACCTGGATTTTCCACAGCAATTAGGTAGCTGTATGGTTTTGAACCATAACATACCTCTGTGTGCGTTATCTGTAAAATATAGGCAATTCAGATAAAGAAAAAAAGAGAAACCATCATTTAAAATAATTTGTTTTAAAAGAAAAAAACAGAAAATTCAATGAGTTGTTTTGAAAGGATTTACTTTAAAGCTCTAGTTATGCACTCTGTGGAAATGGGGGTCTGAAGAACTGTGCCAAGTCATAAATGGAGACTCCGTGTCCTGCGTTTACCACAGACACGGCATAGCTTATTCTAAGCAAATGACAGATGAGTAGAAAGTACATAGACATTCTGGCAACCGTGACATCCTGTTATAAAGCAGCAGCCACAAGTAGCAATCAGAAGCCTAATATCGACACAAAAATCTTAATAAATGTCACAGCTTTATAACAACAAGAAAGAGTTGCTGCCTTGTCATATAAGGAAGAAGGGAAAATATACATGATCAGCTCATTTGTGCAAAAGCACGGAGGAATAAATTAATGAGATTGGGAGTGTGCGGGAACCAGGGAAGAGGCAATGGAACAGGAATAGAAAGGATGAAAGTGTAGTGGTCACTTCTCTGAGTACATCTTGCAGAATTCTGACTTTAGAATTATGTCAATGCTTTATGTACTCAAAAAATAAACAAAGTATTACAATATCTTTAAATGGGTGTCAGCAAATGAGATCATAGCAAAACAAAAGTGCCACCACCCCAGGTGAGCCAGGTCCCTCTGGACCAGCCCCCAGGGTATCCTGGGGACGATCCCCAGCCAAACAAGGCAGATTCATTTATCTAAAACCCATACTGGACACCTAGGAGGCGCTGGTTACTAGTCCCTCGGGACACAGCTCTGACAACAGACCCAGGGTCCCCAGCCAGTCGGATGGGACCCTGCACTCAAGTTACAGACCTTAGAGACCCTTGTTTCCTGCAAGTTCCCAGGACCCAAGTGCCTGTTGTGTGTGCAGTTTTGCAGGAGAAATCTTTAAGTTTTAGGAAAGTCTGAAAGAAATGGAGGAGGGAGGACTTCTGTTAACCACAGATGGGAAGAGTTTCAAAAAATATTGTGCACAAATTCCATATGATTGTGCAAGTATCACACTGCATGGGAATAATTTAAAATCCGTTTCCTGCGCAAGAATGGGGTACGAGGAAAGGGCTGAGGCGCCTCACTTCCTCCATGTTCGGGCGCTGGAAACACTGTTTGTGGACCTAGAACTGTTTTAAGCGTGTGGCTGTGTGAGCTGAGTGGAGTTAAGCAGGCCCATCTCCATCTCATTTTAAGAACGGAGAGAGGACACCTCCACTCATGAACAGGAAATGACCTCCCCACACACACACACACCTGACACCACACAGTCCCGGCCTGCGCCACGTCCTGTCTGATAACCCCGGGGCTCCCCAGCTTTTCTGCTTGAACGCCCAGCCTAGCTTCTTCTGGCTCCTCCTGGACCCCCGAGCTTCCGCAAGTCGCTCGGGCTCACCTTACAGCAGTGGGGCAGTCCCTAATTCGGCTGTGATTGCCGCGGAAGTGGCGAGATCAGCGGCATTGGTCCCCCTCTCCCGCCGCCAGTGCTCTCAGTGCCCCTTGCGCTGAAAGGGGAGGAAAATTGTGTGTTGGGGGTGGGGGCGGGGAGCAGGGAGGATGACTCCAGGAGGGCCAGTCCCAGGCTGAGGAAAGCGCTGGGAGACCAGACCCCAGTGCAGCTTCGGGTTGCTAGTTTGCGTGGCCTCTCTTCCTGTAGGGTTGGGCCAGAGGGAATTGAGCACCTCTCTCCAGGTGTGCCTCCTCTCCTGGTGTGCCCCCTCTCCAGGTGTGCCTCCTCTCCAGATGTTCCCCCACTCCAGGTGTGCCCCCTCTCCAGGTGTGCCCCCACTCCAGGTGTGCCCCCTCTCCAGGTGTGCCCCCTCTCCAGGTGTGCCCCCACTCCAGGTGTGCCCCCTCTCCAGGTGTGCCCCCACTCCAGGTGTGCCCCCTCTCCAGGTGTGCCCCCACTCCAGGTGTGCCCCCTCTCCAGGTGTGCCCCCACTCCAGGTGTGCCCCCTCTCCAGGTGTGCCCCCACTCCAGGTGTGCCCCCACTCCAGATGTGCCCCCTCTCCAGGTGTGCCTCTTCTCCAGATGTGCCCCCACTCCAGGTGTGCCCCCGTGCCCCAGGGCCTGAGCCCAGACTGCCCTTTGCCTACCAGAGACCCGAGTTTGCCTCGCTTGCGAGGGGCTAGATTCGCTAGAAAGTCTTTTTCGTCCAAAACCTCATTGGATTCTTGCAGCAAGACAGAAGAGAAAGGCAGGGCCGGGGACCTGGGCGCAGGATTTGAACTTAGGGCTTCTGATGCCAAGTCTCTCCCAAGGTGTCTTCCTTCTGTGACTTCACAGACGCGACAGAATTCCACCGTAGAGTGGGGCGTTGGCTGTGTTCGCAGCTTACTGTTCAATCTGGGATCGCCCACAGCCCCATCGTGGAAGGTGAGGACCAAACTGAGCTGCTGGTGCGGAAAGGCCTGGCGCCAGCTCGCCTGTTCGTGGTCCTCTTCAAGGAAATGCCCTAAGTTCGCATTCTGGGTGTGTGTGTGTGTGTGTGTGTGTGTGTGTGTGTGTAAATACCCACCTACCAGATCTTTGCCTGAAACTCTGCAAGGAAGAGGATAAGATTTTTTTTTTTTGAAGTCCTGGGATGTCTTTTGAGCATTAAAGCATCTGATTAATTAATGCTTGTTTTACAAATTTATCCCGAGGAAATAATCCAAAATGTTGACAAGGATAAAATCACAAAGATGCTCCCTGAGCCTTACAGTCTCAAAAAAATATATATAGACATAGTAGATATAGTGTACCAGCATAGACGCAGTACATTATGGTTCAACCATAACATGGACTATTATACAGTATTCCCATTTTAAGATATATGTGTGAAAACTCTAATAAAGGTCTGGACATGCTTATGCTGTAAATTTAAAATTTACAAACTCACATGCACCCATATATGCAAAAATATAGAGAAGTGCACTAAAACGTTAGCTCTGGACAGACCATTGTTTTCTTTCCACCTTTTCCTTATTTTCCAAAGTGTGCATGACTTTTATCATCAGAAACAAACTAAATAAATAAATGGGCCATCGCAAGATTTCGACATCTCTGAAGACAAAATGATGTCCCTTTCACGAAAAAAGGAGGGGTGCTGCTGGGGGAACCAGAGTCTGGGCCACCCTGACCTTGCTGAGCTGGACAACCTCAGGAGTCGCTTAACCTCTCTGATCTGATTCCTCGAAGGAAAAAGAAAAAAAGAAGCTGGAACTCAGGAAATAGCTTTGATGTAAAGATTAAATGACACGATGTACAAGAAATCATTGCTTGGCTAAGCCATCCAATTTGCCTAAATTTTATGTAAAATTTTTTGAGAATTTTTGCACCCACCAGCCCGGGCAGATGAGCCCAGCTTATCTGAATTTCAGTAAATAATAACACCCATCTCGCATTTGCCCCAAAGGCTTATTTTGAAAACATTTGTCCTAAAATCCCCAAAAGAACCCTAGTGAGATCTCATTTTGATTTTAAAATATTTTTAAACGACTTAGATTGTGCTCAGACTGCCCCCTCCGGGTCCTGTTGTCTTCATTGAACCATGTGGGGTAAGAAATTACAGCAGTGGACACTTCTTGAAGGTCTCATACAGTTATCACAACCATCCTCTGATGGGCGTATTGTTTTCTCCAGTTTTAACTAGTCAAAGCTTGGAGAGAAATACTTTGCCCAAAGCCCACAACTCATACATCCAGAGCAGGGCCAGACTAGTGGGCTCCACCTGGGCTGTGATAACCACTGCACAACACGGCCTCCTTTACCGGGTAGCTAACGCTCATCAAAACTCCCCAACCCTGGCGGGCGCCGCGTTCACAGTCACCAGCGCACCAAGGCAATTTTAGGGCGATGAGGGGGAGGGGACGCGGCTCAGGACGTGGAGGGCTAGGTGAGTCCCACCTTCGCCTCCTCCCCACCCACTGGCCACGCCTGCTAAGAGCCTGGGGATCCCCCCTGCCCCCCCCCCCCAAAAAAAGCTCCCCTGCCCTTTCTTGGCTGCGGGGTTGACATGTTCCACCTGTGAAGTGGCGGATCCGGCTCTAAGCGAGGCATTTCCACCTCCGTCTAGGCCCGGTGGTCAGACTCGCTCCTCCCGCGTCCAGCCTCGGCTCGCGGGAAGGAGCCCCCGCCTCCGGCCCCGCCTTGCGCCCACGAAGACTCCCGGGGGTCCCTCCAGCCGCGGTGCCCAGCGGTCCCCACCCGAGCTCCTCTGCCGCGGGAGCGGAGAGTTAGGATAGTGCCAGGCCGGAAGGACCAGCTTGGGGTGCCAAGCCAGGGCTCCATCCCCCATCCCTGCGCGTCCTCTAGGAACGTCCCCGCGGACCCCGGGGTGACCTCCGAGGTTCGCGCCGGTACCGTATTTACCGAGATTCGAGCCTCGCGCAGCGCCGTCTCTTCCGCTCTCCCGGCCTCTGAGAACCATCCATATGGACCAAGCCTCCCCAGAAAGTGGCTGGGCTTGCAGAGGAATTAGAGGGGCGCGGGGGGACAGCGCTGGGGGTGGGGGTGGGGAAAGGTGCCGCTGGGTTAGCACGTGGTTTCCGCGGGAACCAATGGGGGTGGGCAGTCTCGTCACTCGGCCCTGGTCACCGGCCACCGGGATGGCCCCGAGGAGGGCGCAGTCCGCGACGCCGGGCGTCCGCCCCAGACCCGGGGCCTGCGGTGCCGGCAGCCGGCAGGCGGGGAGCTCGGGGCGCTGCTTTCCGCGGGGGCCGGGGACGTGCAGGCCCCGCTGCTCCCGCCTCCGGGATGCTGCAGAACCCCGTCACCTCCACGCCCTTCTCGGTGGACGACATCCTGCGGCTGGAGCGAGAGCAGATCGGCCTCGCGGCCCTGCAGCTCCGCGGGGAGCGCTCTCAGTATCTGCGTCTGGTCCCGGACCCGCGCGGGGCGGAGGTTCCCAACCCCGGTAGCCGCGGCGACGGAGAGGGATGGCAGGACGGGCCGGAGCCCCCTGGGGATCCCGGTGAGCGGGTCACAGCCATGGACGCGGAGCGGGCGGGTGAGTACACCCTCGGGGCTTGGCACCGACAGGGAGGTCAGGAGGGTCGGGATGGGCCCTGATCAGCTGGCTGTGGCGGGACAGGTTCTCCAGGCCTCCCCGGCGAAGAGGGCCTGCCTTGTTCCCTTCACTTCAGAGTCCGGGTCCCCGGAGGGTTCACCTCCCCAAGGGAAAAAAGGTCCTGAATCTTAGGGGTTTGCTGTCTCCACAGCGAGTCCTCATATTCCCACAAACACACCACCCCACTCACAGCCACAGTCCCCGGGACGCCAGCTTCTCTCTGACACCGAAACCGCCACACAGTCTTGGCTGTGCTGCGTCCCCTCCCGCTTGTCCCCTCCCGCTTTCCCTGCCGCCTGAGCCTCTCCGCCCGAACCCATCTGCCCAGGAGTAGCCGGCAGAGAGCAGGGCGCTCGGGGAGGAGACTGACAACAGCGGTCCGTCCCAGGCCGGCCCTCCCCAGGCGCTCCTGCGAGGCGGGACTAGCCCAGTCAACCCTGTGCCCGGTTCCTCCACCCAAAAGTGAGAGAGGTGCCGGCCAAACCAGGTCTGAGTCCCGGGGCGTAAAGGGTCCTGCAGGGTTTGGTGGGGAGCCCTGCGGGTCTGCGGGGTCTGGGAGCGCGGTAAGGGCAGCGTGGGTCAGGGCAGCCATGGGTAAGGGCAGCGTGGGTAAGGGCAGCGTGGGTCAGGGCAGCGTGGGTCAGGGCAGCGTGGGTAAGGGCAGCATGGGTAAGAGTAGCTTGAGTTTGACCGGCTTCAGGAAGCCGCTCTGCCGAGTCTCCGCGCAGTTTCAGCTCCCGGGCTCCGAAAGCGCAACTGGTGCGCAGACAGCGAGGCCCAGACCCAGTGTCCAGCGGCAGGAAGGGCAGAGGCGGGCGGGACGCGGGAGTCTTGTGCCCGAGGCGCAACATTCCGAGGAAGCAAACGCCACCTTCCCTCTCGTCCAACCTCTGGCCGGGTCCGCAGCCTCCATGCGGGTCTGGGGGCCCTGAGAGGCGCCTCGCAGGTCAGTCTCCTCTGCCGGCAGTGCCACGGCCCCTCCGTTCCAGGCGCAAACTGGCCGCGTAACTAGAGACCAGTTCGGAGCTATTCATCCACTTGCAGGCTGCTTTTTCACCGACCCCAGAGCCGGAGAACATTAAACTTCGCTCTGTTCGCAGAGCAGCCGGCGGTTTTCTGCGGCGAACTCTAAACACGGGATTCCCTCCGCGCTGCTCGGCCCACCAGGCGTGCGCTTCTGCTCCAGGGAGAACCGGCCACACTTCTCCGGCCACCGCGCTCCCCGCACAGCCCCAGACACCCGCAGCGCCTTCCTAGCCCCGCGGGAAAGGGACCTTCCTGGTGGCCTCAGGGCGCCCTCCATCCCCAGCTGACCCACCTCGCTTTCAGGGACACAGGGCACAGGGCGAGAGAGGTTCCGGACTGGGACCCGAAGGACCAGGGGAGCTGAGACACCCGGGGTGCTGTGCAAGCCCTCGGCCTGCGTGGTCAGTAACTTTCCAAGGGGGTCCTGCTGTTTCTGTCCCTGAAGGTCAGTTGTTTTTATTTGGTAACAAAAGAAACCCTCGCCAATATTTTTTCTTTGGGAGGAGAGATGTCCTCAGTTTCTCCGAGCACATGCTTCTCTGAAGAAGTTTTCATTTCTGCAGACAGTGAGCACCCAGCAGCCCGCCCGCAGGAGACTGACCAGCTCGGTTGGTGGGATTTGGAGCCCAGTTCCAACCCGCACCAGGTCTCAGGAGGCAGGCCCTGGTCCCTGCTCCAGGAGCTGCCTCTCCTCTGTGTCCCTGGTTTCCTCCTGCCTGGGTTTCCACGAAAACTCTGCGTTTCCTCTCCACCCACCTCCCCTTCTGCAAAAACGGCGCTTAAGCCCAGACAGCAGAGAGATGGGAAGGGCAGGGAGGCTGCGTCTAGGCGGCTCCCAGCGCGGCCTCTGCAGCAGCGGAGCTTCGCCCAGTTTTAACGCGCTCAGTTGGCGCCCACTCCGTGTGCCCAGGCCGGGGCGCTGTCCAGGAAGGAGAAGAAGCGGGGCAAAGCCACCCACTTGCCACAGACCCTGCAGGAGAAAGAGGCCGCTTAAAAAAAAAAAAGTCAGATGTGGATCTCAACTTTACACATACCTCCAAGAGAACCTCATTTTCTCAGCCAACAGTCGAGAGTCGGAAAATAAGTTGTTTTATTTTGTTAATTTGGATAATGGAACCTTGCGTCCAAGAAACATGAGGATGGGCCCCAGTGCCGGTGGAGCACCTGATGACCAAGATGACAGGGGTGTGTGCCAGGGTGGGGTGGAGGTGGCAGGCACTGGAGGCTCCTAGTTTGGAGCAGGGTGGACAACCAGATGAGGGGAGCCTCTGGCAGGCATGTCACCGAGTCTCGCTGTCTCTGTCTCTCCCCCTCCCCCCCTCTTCCATCCCCTTCCTCTCTCTTTCCACCAAGGCTTGTCCAAAGTCAGCCCGCCTCTGATAAGTCCCTTCCTTATTCACTCTCGATTCTTGCAGCAAAGTTCCTCAAACTCAGCCATACTTTAGAATAGAAATCGCAGCAAGCCGCCTTTACCCCGCCCCCGCCCCCACCACCAACAACAACAAAAATAAATAAATAAAAAGACATTCTAAAAGGAAGTGAAGCTGTCTTAGACAGTCTACCTTTTGGGAAACGGCTGTACACCTGGGACCACAGATTGTCCCCGGGCTACCCGGGGAGAGGGGCGTCCCTGGAAAACCGTGCAAGCATTGCTGGCGTGGGCCTCGGGCTGGCGCTGACGGGGTTCCTTCCTGTGCTTTCAGAGCCCGGCCTCCGCGCGGCCTCGCCCCTCCGCGGCGGGACCCGGCGGCCAGAGCGCGGCGGCGGCGCCAGCGGCGGCAGCTGCAGCGACGGGGCGCGCGGTGCGGGCGCGGAGCAGCCGAGGGCGCGGCAGCGGCGGCGGCCGCGCGTGCTCTTCTCGCAGGCGCAGGTGCTGGCGCTGGAGCGGCGCTTCAAGCAGCAGCGGTACCTGTCGGCGCCGGAGCGCGAGCACCTGGCCAGCGCGCTGCAGCTCACGTCCACGCAGGTCAAGATCTGGTTCCAGAACCGGCGCTACAAGTGCAAGAGGCAGCGCCAGGACAAGTCCCTGGAGCTGGCGGGCCACCCCCTGGCGCCGCGCCGGGTAGCGGTGCCCGTGCTGGTGCGGGACGGCAAGCCCTGCCTGGGCCCCGGCGCGCCCGCCTTCCCGGGTCCCTACGGTGCCGCCGCCGCGCCCTATTCCTGCTACAGAGGCTACGCGGGCGCGCCCTACGTGGCGGGCTACGGCGGGGGCTACGCGGGCGCGCCCCCGGGGCCCGCCCCGCCCGCGCCCCTGGCCGGCGTGGGCCTCGGCGGGGGTGGCCAGAGCAGCAGCGCGCAGGGCCCTCTGCCCGCCACGCTGCAGGGGGTGCCGGCCTGGTGAGGCGCCCTGGCTCAGACACACCCACCGAGGCCGGGCGCTCCGTCCAGCCGTCCGCCAATGGGTCTCAGCAAGAAGATGGGCTGCCACCCTGGAGGGAAGAGGCCACCCGCATGGCGCTCCCCCCGAGAGCGATCTTGCGACTGTGGATCGCCCCGGGGAGCCTCGGGCTGAAGGCCCTGGGAGCGTTCTTCCCGCTCAGAGACAGACAGGACGCGCGGGCCTTCGCCAGCCTCGGCGCGCAGCGCTGGGCGGAGGAGGAAAGCAAGGGTGGGAGGCAGTTTCGGGCGGCGGGCCGCGCTAAGGAAGCTGTCGTCGGGTCTCAAACCTAGGGGGCTGGGAGGTTGTGCGCTGCAGCCTGGGCATTCGGAGGGCCTGGGTCCTCCAGCGAAGGGCGACAGGTGGGGGAAGAATGAAAGAGTCGAGTGAGGGAAGGGGAGTGGGGAGCCAGCCAGGAAAAGGAGGATCCAGGGGATCAGGAAGAGCCTCCTGTAGGATTTAAGTCCCCACCCCCACCCCCCATCCCACCCCCAGCTGCGCTCTTAGAGACTCGGATTAATTCAGGAAGTGCTCTTTGCTGGGGCCACGATTGCTCTCTGCGAAGCATCCTCCAGCTCTTCCCTCCGTGTCAGTGCATTTCTCTCTTGTATACAGCTCAGCATCTTGAGGAAATACATGAAATAGATTTGTGTTCGCGTGTGTGTAAGCCGTTAGCATTATCCACCTCTCGGTCACCTCTGAACAACTTCGAATTAAAGTAAAAATGAAACCCCCAAGTCCTGAGTCCTCAGTACATGCAGACCCCCTGGGGACCAAACTGGATTTGGCCCTGGTGCCAGGTGCCCTGAGGTCCCCTCCGCCGCCTCGTCCTCTGCAGGTTTTCTTCCCGAGCAACAGGTTTCCAAGTTCCAGTGGGAAGGCGGCTCCACTTGGCCTTGAGTCCTAACAGGAGGGTAGGGAGCCTGAACTTTCGGGGAAAGCTAAATGTGTTCCTGGGGACATTTCTCTTTGGCAGGCACTAGTGCGAAAAGCAGGGTTTTTAAAAGACCATATTTAGTCAATGAAAACTCTGGTTCTTCATCCCCTGGACCACTAACTTGTCAAAAGTTGAAGTGTATTATTTAATAAATTCTAATGTTTAATTAAAATTCAACGGCCCTGCATTTTCTCATTTCTGAATGTGCCTGGTTATTTCTACTGACCTGGGAAAGAGAGACTGCTGGGTCCCTTGTAAACTATACCTACTTTACATGGCTTACATCTCTTAAAGTTTATATGTTTAAGCTAAAAAAAATAATAATTATTCATATTTTTTCTTTACATTTTTTCTCCTTTTTACTTTCTCTCCTTTCAAGATTACATTTTCCCCAAGAGTCTAAAATGCTGCATACAGTATTAAGTTTTTTAAAAAAAACTTTTGTTGCTCTTTAGGTAAGACCCTTACCCTAGAAATACAGGTCATGGATCCTACTTGGCACAGAGTAGGAAATTAATACATGCATTCCCTCCACCCACCCACCCTTTCTCACATAGTAAAGCAGCACAGAGGCGGTGACCAGACCTGTGATGTTGTGACCAGGCCTCCACACTCCCTCCACCACCATTGCCCACATGGAGAAGCAGGGAGGAGGAGCCATGGCTGTGCTCAAGGCTATGAGTGATGGAGAAAGAGGCTTAGTCCAGTCATCAGTAACTCAGTCAACACTGAACATTTCTGCTAGGGACACAAGAGAAAACAAGATTTGGCTGCCGCCCTCAAGGAATCTATTATCTAATTGGATACCAGAGACTGACATGAGAAAGGTATCTAAAAATACTAGGTGGTATATGCTGCCTGTCAAAAAGGACAGACAATAAGCTCTCTAGAAAGAAAGAAAACCTGGGGGAGCTGGGGTGTTCAGAGAAGGTGCTTAGAGGGCGGGAAGAGGGGTAAGGCGGTGGTTAGGGTGGGAATGGCACTATTTCCTAGAGGAGTTCTGGGAAAGGTCTAGCACTTAGGATGGAGAAAAGTTGTTTTTTAAATATATTTTTATTGATTTCAGAGAGGAAGGAGAGGGAGAAACATCAATGATGAGAGAGAACCACTGACCAGATGCCTCCTGCACACTCCCCCCTCCCACAACTGGGGGTTGAGCGTGCAATCTGGGCATGTGCCCTTGTCTGGAATCAAACCCGGGACCCTTGAGTCCACAGGCACACGCTCTATCCACGGAACTGAACAGGCTAGGGCTAAATGGGCACATGCTGCAACCAGAGTGTATTTTATGGTAATTTGAATACAACTCAAGGCTAACTCTTGGGAATTTGTAAATTTAGTTGACTGAGGAGAATGGGTGAGGTCGGGGTTGTTGGTTTCATATATATACCCATGATCACTGTAAATGTTCCATTGGCCTGCGACATTGTTTCTCTCTCCAGATTACTGTAGCATCCATATTTGATGGTCTAAACAAAACAGAAACAAATAAACCTATAACAAGCCTTGTCCATGTGCACTCCATGTGGATTTTTCTTGAGGGAAGTTTGAGATTCGCGGGACAAAAGGAAAGAAAAAAGAAGGAAAACTCTCTTCTTTGCATCTCCCCCCTTTCTGCCTGTCAGGATCACTTTGAAATGCATTCCCTCTCCCCACTCCCAAGCCCACCCCCAGCTGCCCATCTTCCATCCTGTAATCTCTCCTTTGCACTGAAAGCTGCCCCTTTTTGTGTGTGTCTCATCGACCACAGCTTATCCGAGGCACGGCTTTCACCAGGCTCTGTAAGCCATCAGCCTCTTATCTGCATCGTTCAGTCCCATCACTCCAGTCACCTCTTAATGTTCACAAGTTCCCCAAATGGGAAGTAATTGACCTCTAAACAAAACAAAAAAAGCTCTCAGAGAGATAGCAGAGGTTCCTTTTCTGACTGTCCCAGGGCTAGGGGTCTCACCTAGGCCAGGTGGATAAGTCAATAAAATTGCAGACTTCTTGGCTCCCTGTCCTTCCTCCACCCCCACCCCCACCCCCCAGCCCCTTCAAGCCAGCCTCATCTCGATACCATCTGCAAATCAGATGGAGCACAAGCCCAGCTCTAGGTTTCAGACTTGCCAGAGATTTCTGGTATTTATTTTTTGTAATTTTATCATCGTAATGATGTAACTTTGGGGGGACACACTTAAATCTTTTAAAATTCCATTTGAAAAGTGTTTACAACCCTGGGTTTACACCAGCTCTTTATTCTATCAGCCCAGTAGCTTGCCCTTTTTCCTTTTTACAAAACAAGGGAACTCCCAGGCAGAAAAGCTGTGTCCCGGCCTATCACCTTCCCTTAAAGAGGCCTCTTAATAGAGATGGAAGGTGGTGAAGGAACACTGAGTTAGGGCCTTGGACCTCATTCTAGCCAGGCTCCACTAGTGATACACGATGGGACCTTGAGCAAGACTTGTAACCTCCCTGGGTTTCAATTCTTGGCTTATAAAGTTGAGGAGGTAGATCTCTAGGCTATTATTCTAATTTTTAAAAAATATGTTTTTATTGATTTCAGAGAGAAGAAGGGAGAGGGAAAGAGAGATAGAAACATCAATGATGAGAGAGAATCATCGATCAGCTGCCCCCCACATGCCTCCCACTGGGGATCGAGCCCACAGCCCAGGCATGTGCCCTGACCGGAATCCAACTGTGACCTCCTGGTTCATAGACTGACGTACAACCACTGACCCACACTGGCCAGGCTATTATTCTAATTTTTTGCTGACTCCCTGTTGACTTCAGATGCCTTCATTTTTAAAAAATTATAAAATAGATTATATATCCACAGGACTACATTAAACATATGTAAGGTTTAAAGTATAATGGTAAAGTAAACATACCTGTAACCCCCTCTCAAGGCCAGAAACAGGGGTGCAGCCTCCAGCAGCCCCCTCCCCATGCTCTTCCCAGAATGCAAACCCCTTTTCTCTTCCTTCCACCCAAAAGATACCAGCTATTCTGACTTCTGAAATAGTCATTTATAGGATTCTTTTTATGGATTTACTCCTTTGAACACATCCTCCAATGATATGGTCTAACTTTGCCTGATGGTGAATGTTACATAAATAGAATCTTACCGCATGTATTCTTTCATAACTTGCTTCTTTTATTACGTTTTGTGAGATTTACCCACGTGGTTGTGTGGGGCGTTAGTTTGCTTGTTTTCATTGCTACATTGAAATTGCACCCATTGAAGGCAGGGGCCTCGGCGTATTTACTGAAAATGCAGGCAGTTTCCAGCTGGGACTGTAACAGAGGATGCTGCTGGCGGTACCTTTCCCACAGGTACCCTGCGTTCTCTGGCTGTGTTTGTCCTGGTCTCCATGAACCGACTTCCAGGAAGGCTCCCTCCTCGGACAGGTTTCCATTTATGTAACTCATATCCTTACACTGGTAAACCCTTTGATCTTTTGTCTGATTTCATGCATACTCACCACCTCCACCTGGGGCAGAGTATATTACTGTCCCCATTCCCAGAGAAAGAGTCCAAGTGCCAGAAAGGTGAGTCACACTGTGAGTCAGTGGCAGACGGGAACTAGACCCCAGACCTTCCGCCCCTCCGGCCATGGGTTACTTCCACTGAATACTCAACAGAAAGTTCAAGTCCTCACACAAATCAGGTGAATCTTGAATGGCACCATTGTCTTTATTTCTTGAGGGAAATATTGCCTAAGAGAGAAGGGTGGGAACCTTTTGGAAAGCATTAAGAAGGGAAAATAGGAAGCCAGATGCCAGAGAGGGTGCGGGGAGGATGGGAGAACTACAACAGCACCTTCAGACATTGGGGCAGGCAGCATATTAAAGACTCAGGCTTTTGCGACCCTCTCACGCTTTTTTGTCTACATTTTCCTCTGCACTTTGAACCCCCAGAGACCCGGATTCATGCATGCTTTCAGCTGGCCCTGTCCTGAGAGCAGGAGAATTCAGCCCTGAGCTGTTTGTCCTCCGGAGTTCACCTCCCCCAACCCCGGAGAGAGCTTCGTGGGAAGTCTCTGTGCTTCCTCCCTGACTCTGTTTAGACTCCAGCAAGTCCCCCCACCCTCAGCCCAGGAGCAAGATGTGATCTTAGTGACACAGTCCAGATTCCACTCTAAGAAAAGCAGATATGCCCAGCAGCCTGGCAGCAAGCCTCAGAGTGCTTCCTCACTGAGTCCCTGTGGGGCCGTCCTTAGAAGCTGGTCTCAGTCAAACCCAATTTTTCCCCATCCATGCCTCAATGACTGCTGTCACCAGCCCAGCGTAATTGCCTGAAACCCTGGGACCCACATAATTGGAATCCAAAGTTCGGACTTGAGTGGGTCAAAGATGTACTTTTTCCTGTGATGGCTCCTGTCTCTGGCCCCCTGGCGCCTCCCCTGGACATTCTCTATGAGTCAGGTCCCCCAGGACCTGCTCCTGTACCATCTTGGACATGCCCATCATAATGCATTCGCTCTCTGTGTCTTTTGGCCTTTCTTAACAACCAGCC